ATATTCTATAAAATGTGCCAACAGTCTCTTTATCCCTACTTCAGACCTAGAAAGAACTACAGCATCGTCTGCAAACAATAGCAGGGGCACCGGTCGCGAGCTCATAATTGGGCTGTGACCATCAATCCTCTCTAACCCCGTGGCCAAATCATTTAAGAAAAGATTAAAAAGGAGGGGAGCCAATACACAGCCCTGCTTAACCCCTATTTTGATGGAAATTTTCGGGGTTAAATCACCATCCCTAGAGCCTCTTACTTGGCAAGTGGTAGGCCTGCCAGATACCATCACTTCAAACTGTTAATACGTTGCAAATACGGATGAGCACAAACTGGCTCATGAACCTAAATTTGTGATAAATCGGGCCTGGTTGTGGTTCGCTGGCAATGTGGCTTGCAAAAACCATTTAAAGGGATCTAGGAACTGTGAACCTAGAATGCCGGGAATGCGGGGGAGGGTAAAATTTACTTAAAACCCAGTTTTGTAGAAGTCGCATTCTTAGGCGTGCATATGGGGTTGTGGTCATGGTAGCAGCCGTCATCAGCCCTAAGAACTTCCGAAAAAATAAAGATTGAAATCTCCTTTATATGTAAGGCTCTATTTACAGGTAGGAAAGACCTGGCGACTGGGGTCCAGAAGGACCCCAATAAAGGAAATTTTCTGGGAAGGTTGGAGGCATGATTTCTTACTATTAATTACCAAGCCTAATTCCTGGCAAGCTTGTCTAATCAAGGAAACTTGTGACTCTAGTTCCCCGTGGGAAGGTGCCATCACAAGCCAGGCATCCAACTATGGGTAAACAGAACACCCTTTAGACCTTAGATGTGCTGCTACAACAGTAACACATTTAGAAAATACCCGTAGGGCAGTTGCCAAGCCAAACGGAAGGGCCATGTACTGGTAGGAAGTGTGGCTATATCTAAAACCCAGGAACCTGTGATAACCGTGGTGGATAGCAATATAGTGTCCTGAAGGTCAAATACACAAAACCAATAGTTTAATGTTAACAATTGTAGGACTAACTCAAATGACAAACATTTTGAACTTTCTAACATTCAGAAAAAGATTAGATCCTTCAGGTCCAGGATGGGTCTAAGACCTCCATCTTTTGGGGGCAACAGGAAAAAGCACAAATAAAAAACTGTGATGGGATCCGAATCAGGGACTCTCTGTACTGCTCCCTTTTGTATAAGGGACAACAGCTACTCAGGCATAGAGTTATTCAGGGCCTGATCAGGATGCTGGAGGGGTGGCCACTGCCAAAACTCTAGTCGATAACCTAAGCTGACAATTGACAGAACACAGGTGTTGTGAGCGACCTCCTTCCATTTTTCACTGAAGACCACTAACATGTCTTTTAAAAAGGCAGATGACTGGTTTATTATAGGTCTTAGTCAGAAGGAATTTTTAGAGCCTGCTGCAGATCTTTAGGAAGTGGCTGGTGTGAGCCCTGTGAAGAAATGCATTTTTTTCTTTGGAGGTTTGAAATTAGCAAAACTTCCACTTCTGGGCACAGAGCAAGACAGGAGGAGGAAGGCAGTCCAATTGCTTTCCAGCTTACCTTCATACAGATGCTAATCGATCTAGCAGGAGAGTTAAGGGGTGGGTCAAGTTCTCCCCCCTTCCTCCTAGCAGGGAACAGAGTTTTGGAGGAATGAAATGCTAGAGATCTGGAGATCTGCAGAAATCTGCTAGAGATCTGGAGATCTGTAGAAAAAGCTTCCTTGACCTGGCCAGTGGATGGAGAACCAGATATGATAAAAACTCCTTGCTGCAGGAAGGAGGTCTCTTTTCCTTGGGTGTGGAGTCCACAAGCACACACAGAGCGCTCCACTGGGAAGGCAGCCTTGACGATGTGCTCACTCAGAGAGCTACAGACACTTGCAAGGTAATGGCAAATCTGCAGAAATTTCTAAGATTGTAAATTTTAGGGGCCTAGTTTAACATCTGATGTGACATATATAGAGAGGGGGGGGGATTTGCGTTTTACCAATTTCTTTTTTTTCCTTGCTCAAATCTGGTGCTGTGCTAAAAGTGTGCTTATGAACATTTTCTTTTTAATAAATACTTTATAACTTTTGATGCTGGCAGTGGTTCTCTGTACTACATAGACCTCTATCATCTTGGACACACTATTCTAAGAGGAGCACCAGGGGAAGGCTGGCAGTTGGCAAGTGGCTATTCCTCCAGGGGTGCACAAGGCAGTAGACTGTCCCTGTGGTGACCAGGCACCAGGTAGTGGGAGACAAACAGGCAAGGCCTCAGAACTTGGAGGGGAAGCTGGGAGCCCTGACCCTCCTAGTGGGCAATTCCTTACAAAGGTCAGGGGGTGGTGGCGGCGGTGGGCTACTTGAGAGTTTAAGAAAAGCCTCTCCAGGTGTGGGGGAAAAAACCCTTGGAAGGCAAGGTGGAATAGGACCTGCAGACCCGTTCCGCCACAATACCTAGCTATATGATTGGCCCTGCACCTGTCCTGAGCCATAAGCCCTGAAAAACGGCACTGTGTACGATACTGCGATGAGTGCAGCTGCTAATGCGAGTGCCAAGAGTATGGCGACTGGGATGGGTGGTATCTAAACATCTGTCAAGGCCTGTACAGAGTTATGGGGTCTGCTGTGATGCCAAAAGAACGAGCTGTTTGCTTATTCTTTTTAATTTGGGATAAAAGATCGTCAAATAGAGTTGTTCCCTGAAATGGAAAGTCTTCCACCTTCCGCCGGGTGTCAGGAGGGAGAGTTGTGTAGCGTAGCCAAGCACATCTTCTCAATATGAGAGATGAAGCCATGGCCCTGGAGGAGGAGTGAGTGGAATGCCTGCCTGTATTAACCTGCTGTTTGGAAAGGTGCAATGCTTCCACTTGGAGTAGGCAGAAGCTCTATATAAGCAGCCATCCTTTCCCAGAGGAACAACTGGTATCCTCCCATAACTGCACTGTAGTTGGCAATGCACAGGATGAGAGCACCAGCTGAGCAGACTTTTCTACTAAGTGCATCAATCTTTCACCCCCTCTGTCACCTGGTGAGGAAGGAGCACCTGTACGTTGCTTTGCTTGCATCTCTTTGGCTACGGGGGATGAAGTGGGAGGTGTCCCGGTCGCGGCCGGGACCTCCGGGACCCACCTGGAGAAGGGGCGACACCAGGCTCACCCAAAGGCCCCCCCCCGCTCCGGCAGCTGCACTCACCCGAATGGACGTGGCAGAGGTCCAGGGAGTTTGGCAGACGACAGGGGCGGTAGGCACCGTCAGGGAGCCAGGGGCCACGGCGGTGGAGCTGCGGCGGTGGAATGTAGGTGCGGGCTGAGGCTGGGCTGGCCCCGCGGCCTCCAGCAGGAACGACCGAGGCTCGGGAGACAAGGGAGCATACACCGGCAGCACATGGAGGGAGAGAGGAGCAGGTGGCGCGGGGGGCGGGCTGGAGGTGGAGCAAGGGGCCGAGGGGGTAATAAAAGAAGGAGAGGGGCTAGCTGATGGGGAGGAATTGGGCTGGCTACAGCTGTAGCACCAACGGGGGGAGGGGGAGAGAGGGGGGGGACGGGCCAAGAGGGTGAGGAAACCCTCTGACTTGCCCGTCATCTGAAGCCAGCTCCCTCCTTGGGGAATTCCCCTCTCGGCTCCTACCCCCCAGCCGTGGTGGAGGAGTCCCTCTGCTGGACACAGCCGGAAGTGCAGGCAGCATGCGACAGGTGAGACAGACGACGTGACAGGAGGGTAGCAAAATAAATAGGAATGTCCTTCCTGATGCATTCTGCATAAATTGTCTACTTTTTTGGATGTGGCAGGCATGCTAATAGGTTTCTGCTAAAGGGCCTTGGAGATGTCAGCAATACCCTCCAGAATTGGGAAAGCAATTATACCCGGTGACTCAGTGCAGCCCTTGCCTAAAATCTTGTCTCAAGGTCTTGGGTTGCTGGAGGACACCTCTATCTCTAATGATTTAGCCATCCACATCATTTGTCCTGCACAGAGCATCAAATCTGACTTGACTGGAAATGAAGAGCCATATGATTCCGGGAGCGTCTTGGAACTGGAACGCCGTTTCTCCTTATGTTTGGACTTGGAACGTGCCTTCTTCAGTGGGGGGTTCCGATATGCAACGTTCAGATAAAGGAATGGGAGATCGGACCCGATGCTTTGGCTCTGTCCCCGGAACTCACAGGCTGGTCAGTGATTTTGAAGGCTGTGCTCTGCCAGGACAGATGTTTTCACTGCCAGGCCATTGGAACAAGAGAGCACCTTCTCCCATAAACTAGCCTTCAAGCATGCTGCTTGTGTGGTTTGTGTTGGCAGACATGCTGATGCTGGTGGCGGGGCTTGGAGAACGCATTTAAAGAGACCGCAGACTCAGCGAATGAACTCAGAAGACATTTGAATGCCTTCTGAGGTCACTTGAGAGTCACGCTGTGGTGGGGCTTGCAAAAACCATTTCAAGGGATCCCTTTAAATAGCTTTTGCAAGCTGTACTACCACTTTCAACCTTGGGGTTGAAAATATATAATCCTTTCAGTGCAACCACATGTTCTGTGCTCTGTCAGTTTAAATGTCACAGCAGCCAGCCCATTTTCAAGAGGCAGATCAAAGTTTTAATTATAGGAGACTGGCAAGATACAGGACTCATTAACAGTGTTCCCTCTAAGCTGAGTTAGTGTGAGCTAGCTCACAGTTTTTTAGCCTCCGGCTCACACATTTTTGTCTTCGCTCAGGAAGGATGGCTCCAGAGCAAACTAATTTATGCAGAAGCCAAATCGCTCGCTCACAACTTTAATGCCAGGAGCTCACAAAGTAGAATTTTCCCTCACAAGACTCCACAGCTTAGAGGGAGCATTGAGCCACATTCACACTAGCGAAGTTAATTCTGCTCAGAGTCTGGCAATCACCAGCCGTGTTCTGACTCAGCCATGCCCTTAACTGTTAACACAACCCTTGTTGGCCGCCTTAATTTTTTGGGAAGAAATGTTGCAGGAAAATCTTGCCCTTGCAGAAAGTGATAAGATGGCTGCTACTCACATTGTGGGAAAAGGCATAAGGTGTTATCCAGGTGACAAGCTGTCCCATCACTTCAGCCTGGTAGTAAATGCCCTTGATGGACAGGAACACCTAGCAAAGGAACCCAGAGAAAGATCTCAGTAAGAAGGACAAGCAAGAGGTCACCTGAGGAGTCCCAGCAGTTACTCACGTGGAACTGAACACAATCTACAGGTAAGAGCTGATCAGCAACAGCTCTTCTGTTACATCTTCTAGCAACATTAATAAATCAAAAATAAGCTGCAGTCAAAATGCAGGGTCAACTATAGTCACAGCATCTCAAGCTTCAGAGGATTAGCCGGGGAAGGTCCAATTTTTAAAACTCTTTTGTATTTTGAGTGTTTAGTAGTGGTGAGTCACAGTTGGAAACAAAAAGGAAAATTTGACAGATCACCTTTCCCTCTAACAATGAGTGGTATCCTCTCCTGGACCACAACTTCACAAGTTCATTCCCCAGCACCTTCAGTCAAAGAGGTCTTAACACAGGGAGATCTCTGCCAGAGACCCTGGAGAGCTACTGCCAATCAGTGCAAGAAAACGCTTCTTTAATACAGCGGCAGAACTTGCTGCTTTTATCAATGGGCTAGACAAATTCAGAAAGGATAGGTGCATATACAGCTATTATCCTTGACAGCCTCTGAATACCAGATGGTGGTGCTTCTTGGGGTCTTGAGAGACCACTGCTCTGACTCCGTGTAAGTCAACTTCCTAAGCACATGTCATATGACAAATTCCAGAGAGGCAGTCATGGTTGTCTGTTGCAGCCAAACCACCACAGGTGTCTTGTGGCACTTTAAAGACTAACAGATTTATTGTAGGTAGTTTCAAAGGGTAGTCCTATTGGTCTGCACTAGAAGAGCTAGATTTGAGTCCAGTAGCACTTTAGAGACCAACAAGATTTTGGGGGGTATAAGCTTCCAAGAGTCAAAGCTCCCTTCGTCAGATAGTTATTCTGTGAGAAGCTTTTGGGTACCATACTCCATTTTGGTATATGTATGAAGTGTTACATTCAGTCTGCAAACTATACAGAGAGAGAGAGAGCATGAGGGGAGAAGAATTATTAACAAAGACAAGACCACCAAGCAATGCAAGACCTAGGCGTATTACGTTACACCACAGAGCAGATAGGAAAACAAGATTCAATCAAAGTAGGAAATGATCCAGTCATGGTGGGTGTAGACTACTGCTAACTAACACAGTTGTAACAACTCTCCCATCTCCCGAGAAAGATTTTGCATATGATACATGAATATGCAAATCTGGCTTCCAACAGGTTTTGCCACAACAAATATGTAACAATGTGCCATAAGATTCTCTAATATCAATCAAGGAAAACCAAGGTCGCCATGCAGAAGCAGGTAATGGCAAACCACATCTATTTGTCTCTTGCCTTGAAAACCCCATGGAGTCACCACAAGTTGGCTCCACTTGACAGCACCTTACATGTCCACAGAGACTCAAAACGCTACTCAAGAAGCATTTAGCTAAGAGATACTATTAGTACTATCACACCCGCATTTAGTGCCAGTGCGCTGCACGGACTACGGACACAACAGAGCAACCCGCTCCAGAACCAAGGGCATCTCAGCCATTCCTTGCTGACCTTGCGCAGGGCACGTGCAGCAATGATGTAGTTGAGGAACTCCACGGTGAGTCGGCGGCAAAGCTGGATCGTCTGAACATGGCACTTGCCCGTGCGAGGAAAAGTTGAAAAGAGGAAGCACATGGAGAGGCCATCGTCCAGGTCCCGCACAGCATCAATGAAAGTGGGGTATCTGTAGCCACCACAGGAGATGAGAAAGACAGATTTACACGGCTCTTTTTAACTCCCCAGAGTTTCTACAGTCGCTCTCAGGCCACATCCACATGAGAACAATGCAGCTCGAAGACTTCTCAGCTAATCCTGCCTGCAAGTGCTGTGAGCTATTCTTATAGATCCTGGATACCTATAAATGGGCCACTGAGCAACAGGAAACACGGCTTCTTCCTGCTGTCTTCGGTTTTTCCTCCCAACCAGATTCTCCTGTTCCCTGATGATATTATGGGAACTGATAGGAAAACGAGAGAGCATCTGGAAAAGGAACTGGCACTAGTGGAGTGGTCTTCAGTCTTTCCAGCTAGGTAGTACTACCTTCACTATATTAATAGTTTTGCTTGTAGAATACGAAGGCATTCATACATTTCATAAACATGCGAAACTGTACAATAATATGTGCTAAAATAGGTATTTTAGGTCATTAAAACAGTAAAATAAGTTTAGGCTTGACAGTCAATATCATATATATTTTTGATTCCTCCTAAAATTTGTTTCTTTTCCAAAAAAAGGGATGGAGACCATGTCCCTTCCCAAAAGATTCAAAATTTCCAAAAAATTGACATGTCTAACTAAGTGCTGTGTACTTGAACCAAGACGAAAGGTGGGGTATAAATATTTTAAATAATAAATTAACACAATAAATAATAAAGTTCAATATCCACCAGTCTTCTGCCACCCTTGCACTCTAGTATCTAGATCCCCAAACATCTGTTCCACAAAGTTCATCTGGTGCCTCCCCATCCCTCACCTCTCCTTGACAATGTGGTCCAGTCTATAGCCAGGCTTGTTGTCTTTCAGGCGTTCCACAGAGTTCCACTCACTCTTGCCATATGCCTTGCGCAACTTGCGGACAAACACCTAGAGGGAGACAAAAGTTTCAGAGGGGCCATGTTTTACAGTTTCTCACCACACAGTTCATATCACAGCCAGCTGCCCACTAACATTCCACAAGTTCCACTCAAGAATGAAGCCTCTGATCCACCATAGGTGGCACACTGGTTGAAGTCAACACCAGAAATATTACGTGAAGAAAATGAAGCCGACGGGGAAGAAATACTGAGAAGGCGGGAGGCAGATCTTCCTGCACCGGAGCACTGGTTCCTCACAGTATGGCATCGTCAGGCCTCTGAGGCCATGCCCATTAACCCCCAGAGAACCGACCTGTCCCTCCAGAGCTAACCCAAGTCCGCTTAAAAGTGTCCCCTTAATGTCTCAGACGTAACCGCGGTCGGGTGTGGGAGAACCGCAAAACCCCGCCGCCCCGATCCTTACCCCCTCCCCGTCCGTCGTCCGAAATGTCTGAGCCTCCAAATCAGCCTTCCCATAACTGCCAGAAACCAAAGCATCAGCTTGCCGTTATGCTATACTGTATCCTCTGCTTGGGCTATGGAATAAAGCATTTTTGGAATGGAGGGCTTTTTTAGAAGAAAAAAAAAAAAAAAAAGAACACCAGAAATGCTTAATAACACAAGCAAGATTCAACCGATCTAATATTGAAACATAACATGACTCATTAGCACCTTACAAGGCATTCAGACAAATGCCATTAAGATACAGGGAAAAGAATCAATACAGGTATGCTGTCTGACTTACACAAAATGTCAGTACTCGGAAGACCTGGGAACCCCCCCTTCCCTGTTACCCTAAAGTGGCTCTATGCAGTTAAACAGTAATCTACTACTCTTGATCAGCTACTGGATCACAATACCTTATATTCCCGGAACTTGTTAACAATTGGCTCGTGAAAGAGGAATTTAATGTCTTTGAGGAGGTAGAAAGTCCGGGCAGCCGTGGAGCCTTTGTTCACTTTCTTCTTGTGTTTGGGCTCATGAGGGTAAATCCCTTTTAGGATGCACAGTCGCCTATAAGAGACAAAGAGATGTCAGACAAGACCTTGTCAGTTTGCCCTGGCACTGAAATCCCAGGCAGCTTGAAGTTTAAACAACAGGAGGAAGCACAGAGTCATTCATTTCTAAGCTAGCAGCTACCAAAAAAGCCTATACTGCTGGTAACACCCCCAAATCCATCCACTACATTCAATTTTGAAGCACTGAAATACTGTCTACTATTATTTCTATCCATGTGTCTCAAATTTTTGAACTCAGGGACCCCTATCTAAACTTACTCTACCTTCTATGCCCTCGCAACAACTGTGGTCTCTTCAGCAAGTGGATGCACAGAACCCTTGCACCCAGCTGCACATCTGCAGCCCACTACAGAGTGAGTAACAATCTGTGAATCTGGGTTGTGATCTAACACCTCAGAGAGGAAAGTAAAGATTCTGCCTGCTGATCTTCTGTGTTCATAAATCCATGTTTCAGGAGGAGGAGGAGAAGATTGGATTTATACCCCACCCTTCACTACCCAAAGGTGTCTCAGAGTGGCTTACAAACTCCTTCCCCTTCCCCTCCCCACAACAGACACCCTGTGAAGTAGGTGGGGCTGAGAGAGCTCTGACAGAAACTGCTCTTTTTCAAGAACAGCTCTTATCAGAACTACAGCTTGCCCAAGGTCATCCAGCCACGTGCAAGTGGAGGAGTGGGGAATCAAACCCAGTTGTCCCAGATTAGTCTCTGCACACTTAACCACTACACGAAACTGGCAGAAGAAAACTTGCTGTGGATAAATTGGCACAAGGGAGAGTGATTCTACCCTGCAAATGCACACAGGCCCCAGGCTGATGAAGGGAGAAAAAAAGGATTAAAGATACCTAGGGTCATTTGCAGGAGAGCTACAGCACATGCAGGAGTTAACACTCAGTGACTGGGAAGACGACATGGAGTGAAAACCTTGCTGCATACAGTTTTACACTCCCTTCTAAAGCCACCTAGGCAGAGAAGGAAGCAGAAGGGAGCCGTAATAACCAGAAGCTCCCACACTTCCCTTGCCTCTCTGTGGCAAAGGAGTTTGGGAGCCTCAGAAAGTGCACCTGGCGCTCTGGGATGCTCTTCTTCTCTGGATCGTAGCACTCACACAACACACCCCAAAGGAGAAAGCTAAATCCTTCTGCTGTTTCCCCAAAATAAACCACACACAGAGCTACTAAAACCAAGAGAAAAAGGCAGGCACAATGGCCCTGATGGTAAAAGGGGTTGTGTGGGTTTGATCTCTCTTCAGGAAACTACACTGGGGGAGTTTGACCTCTCGGCCATGGTCCAGATCCATGCTAACTAGTCTGAAGCTGTATTTTAAACTTAAATTACATATCAGGATACCTGATGACAGCCCTGACCTGGATAACTGGCAAGTATATGGATAGGAGACTTCCAAAGAATATCAGGGCCAGGAGGCAGAGGCAGGCTATCAAGCCACTTCTCTGAACCTCCTCCATGCCCCAGTAGGAGTCACCAGAGGTCGCCATGACATCCAGGCATGGGGGCATGCACATACAAAAAATTCAAAAAAATACCCCCCAAAAGATACCTGATGACACATCCCCAATGCATCCTGTACTCTGATTCTTACAAGCCTCTATTGAAAAAAATTTCATACAATCACTTGGCAAAATACCTTTATTGCCCATCCTATTCTTAAGGTGTGAAATAATCTCCATCACTTCCTATAGTTTAAACATTTTATTAGCTGCCTACAGCAGATCTTCAGAGTGACACGTAAACCCACACACACACCTCTTCACTGGGACTTGAAGGCAACCAGTGTCTGGAGCCATCCTGAACATGGTTACACTGCCAGAGCACAAAAGTTCAGATAAGGCAAAGAGTTCAGATTGCAGTCTGTGACCCACTGTTGATTTTTGGACACATTTCTTCCCCTCAGCTTCACTACTCTAGCTGCAAAATGGGAACAGCAACCAACTTCACAGGGTCACTGGCAAAAGTGAATAAGAATGGTACAAGATATGGTACATGAATCAATGTTTCTACTGAGGCTGCTTTGACCTGGATGGCCCAGGCTAGCCCAATCTTGTCAGATCTCAGAAACTAAGCAGGATCGTCCCTGGTTAGTATTTTGGATGGGAGACCACCAAGGAATTCCATGGTCATTATGTAGAGGAAGCCAATAGCAAACCACCGCTGTAAGTCTCTTGCCCTGAAAACCCTATGGGGTCACCAGAAGTCGGCTACGACTTGACAACACTTTACACACATACACATTGAGTTTACTTCCTGGTATTCCATGATGAAACTGGATACAGGCTTGGTTTTCAAACACTGGGTCCACTGAGGGAGGAGGAAAAGATTAATCTCCACCTGAGTGTTCCCTCACTTTCTTTCATATGTGAATGGTCTCAATTCTAGAGAAAAATGTAAAGTGCAAAACTCACTATCCTCAACTAACACTAGATAACCCAGCCTCTGCTGACAAAGAGCAGGAACCAGGGATGCAAACTCTCTCTCTCTCTGCACACAAAGACACATTGCACACCTCCCCTGTATCAGTGAAAGTTACAAGAGTCAGTACTAAGTCTTGGGCATCTGCCTGGTAAAGAAGACGAACGTATTTTTTCCACATACCTGAAATCTGCAAGGCTCAGCTGCAATTTCTTCCGGGCTTTGTTTCTGGTGATGTAGTTGGTGGCAGAGCCTCGCTGATACTTTGGTGGGGGGCAGAGATGACAGAAAAAGAGGGAGACAAAGATTAGGAGCTGACGATTCCTCAAACTGAAGCCAGAGTTAAATAGTACTGATTTGTAGCCTCACTATTGCAGGGAGGCTGGATCCCCCACAAAGGTAGGGGGAAAGAAGCTGTTGTTCAGAATTTCAGATGGGGAAAGAGGCAGTAAATACCAGGGCATGTAGCACATCAAATATCATAGCTGCTGTTGCCAAGTGACACCAACTTCATCTGTTTAGACAAACCAACCTCTCCTCAGTAATGCACGATATGAGTACAACGACACTATCCTACCTGACACGGCTGTTGTAAGAATTATATTGAGAGCCTTAGCACGCTAAAGAACATACTAAATGATTAAAGAGCCTGATTAGATACAAATTCTCTCCCCTTACCTTCTTTTTTTCCACGCCACCCATTATCACAGGAGATTCTTCCTTCCCGATTACACTCCAAACACCCACGTGGTGACTCCAGGAGGCTCAGACCCCAGAGCACGTTCTCAGGACCCTGCTGTGGAGTTGCACATGCTGCCTGATCAGACGCCTCACATTAATCGAGTTCAATGGCACCGATACAGGCAACGGAAAAAGAAAAAAATAGCCACTGCATTTCTATCACGCTGCGGCGAACCTTTCTACGGGGAAAAACCGGAGAAACTCTCCGAGAATTAGCGCCCTTTTGAAAAGGCATTTCTGTGGATGGCTAAAAAGAGCCTCAGTCCAGTCCTTGACACGACAGAGAAGAATGCAAAGCATGCTGGGCGTTCGGCTGCCTATCATAGAGACGCGAAGCTAGAAAACCTTGCAGATGTACGGATGGTTTTGCAAAGTATGCTGGGATGGAGAAGGGATATTGGTGATAGCCAAAGGCATGCCGGGATAGAGAAGGGCGAACTGTTGTTGTTCAGTCGCACAGTCGACTCCGACTCTTCGCGACCCCATGGACCATCTCCCGCCAGGCCCTCCTGTCTTCCGCCGTCTTCTGAAGTTGGCTCAATTTCATGTTCGTTGCCTCGATGACACTGTCTAACCATCTCATCCTTTGCCGTCCCCGTCTTCTTTGACCTTCAATCTTTCCCAGCATCAGGGTCTTCTCCAGTGAGTGCTCCCTTCTCATTTGGTGGCCAAAGTATTTGAGCTTCAGTTTCATTATCTGGCCTTCCAGGGAACAGTCACGGTTGATTTCTTTTAGGATTGACTGATTTGATCTTTTTGCAGTCCAAGGGACTCTCAAGAGTCTTCTCCAGCACCATAGTTCAAAAGAATCTATTCTTCGGCGCTCAGCCTTCCTTATAGTCCAACTCTCGCAGCCATACATGACTACTGGGAATACCATTGCTTGGACCATGCGGACTTTTGTTGGCAGGGTGATGTCTCTACTTTTTATCATGCTGTTTAGGTTCGCCATCGCTTTCCTCCCAAGGAGCAGGCGTCTTTTAATTTCATGGCTGCAGTCACAGTCTGTGGTGATCTGGGATCCCAGGAACATGAAGTCTGTCACTACTTCCACGACTTCCCGTTCTATTTGCCAAGGAGTGATGGGGCCGGATGCCATGATCTTAGTTTTTTTGATGTTGAGCTTCAAGCCCACTTCAAGCTCAAATACTTTGGCTCTGAGCAAGAGGCTCTTAAGGTCCTCTTCACTTTCTGCCATTAGAGTGGTATCGTCTGCATATCTGAGGTTGTTAATCTTTTCCCCAAAAATCTTAATTCCTGACTGTGCGACTGAACAACAACCCCAGTGAGATCCCTGTCCTCCCCAGGCTCCAGCCCCAAATCTCCAGGAGTTCCTCAGCCTGGATCTGGCAACCCTATGCCCCCATCTTTTGCCAGTGGCCGGGGGTGGGTGGGATCTGGCAACCCTATTTTACACTGTGTTAAACTGTGCATTGGCTATAGAGCTTTAATCTCTCTGGCTTTTGGGAGAGTGGGGTGAAGTGTGTCCTTTTCTTAGAGGCCATTGTCCCTATTTGTGAATTGTACAGGGACTTCTGTCTGGCAGCTGCAGATAAGAGAATGGTGGGGTTCAGACCAAGCCCAAACTATTAGGCAGCTGTCTTGGGCATCAAAACTGAATAGGTGTTTTAGAAGAAGAAGAGATTGGATTTATACCCTGCTTTTCACTACCTGAAGAAGTCTCAGAGTGGTTTACAATCTCTTCCTCTCCCCACAACAGACACCCTGTGAGGTAGGTGGGTCTGAGAGAGCTTTCTCAAGAACTGCCCTTGAGAGAACACCTCTGAAAGAACGTATGACCCAAGGTCACGCCAGCAGCTAAATATGGAGGGGTGGGGAATCAAACCTGATTCTCCCAGATTAGAGTCTGTGCTCTTAACCACTACACCAAAATGGCTCTCTTAGGCTGCGGGCACACAGAGCAGTAGCCACACTACTGAGACGGATGATAGGCGGATTTTCCGGGCGCGATCACACCACAACATCTGGGAAGCGTAGAGCTCCCAAGGCAAACCCAAGGCTTCCCTCCGAAGATGCGCAGTTAAAAACTAGTACCCCCCACCCTGGACTGGAAACAGCAGAATCCATTTTTGCTGCTTGTGACAATATAGCTTGAAGTGTCCTGGTTTGGTTAAGCAATTCTCTTGTATGACCTGGCACGGCAACTGTTTCTTGCATCTAACTGATGGTCCAAGAAGAATCATATTTGATTGACTGAATGTGGCCCAGCAAGGGAGGTTAACATTGTGTATTCTTGCGCTCTAGAGGTTGCTAGGTAGGTTGTGAAGGGACTTGGGTTCATCTGTAGGCTATATTTTCACAGAGACCTTACATAGTGGGACGAGCCCAATATTAAGACAAAAGCACAATTATTTTAAATGTGCTAAATCCAGGCTTGGACAATAACTCGAATAGTAGACAGTGGCAACAGATCTCTAAACCCTTAGAGAGCCTTCAAGCAGAATTTCAGCTGACCCGATCAGAATTTTGACAATACCTACAATTAAAATCTCCTGCGTGCCAAATTTGGCCCTGATGCCTTTGTGAAAGCCTCTGGAATGATTATCCTTTTTGAATCTGATACAATCATTCCCATAGGCACACAGATTTTTATACTTTTCCATCTGCTTGGAATTGGTACCTGCGCTTGATGACCTACAGCTAAAATGGAATGCAGACACAGTGCTGCAAATACACGCACTGCAATGGAGTTCTGTTCTTTTTTGGACCGGTGATTACAACTTATACAAAGAAAAATCGTTCTGTGGGTTCACTGGATTTTATGGACCACAATAACTGCTGGAGATGTGCTGCACTCAGAGGGACATTGTCTCATATGTTACGACTGGTCTTGTTATTGCAGTTCCACAGTAAACAGTGGAAGCAGGTTGCCAAGTCTGGGTTGGAAAATACCTGGAGACTTTGGGGATGGAGCCAGGAGAGGGTGGGGTTTGGGGAAGGGAGGGGGCTCAGCATAGTACAATGCCATAGAGTCCACCCTTCAAAGCAGCCATTTTCTCCAGGGGAGCTGATCTCTGTCAGCTGGGGATCAGTGGTAAAAGCGGGAGATCCCCAGGCCCCACCTGGAGGCTGGCAACCCTAAGCATCATTGAATGCAGAGTATTTTGCTTGCCACTTGTGTATTTATGTGAATTTGTGGAATATATGTAACAAATTTGGAAGTTGTTGCAAGATTGTGATGTCATGATAAGAAATACAATAATACACTTTTAATGTAAAAATTGAACTTTATTGTATATTAATTGCGGTAAATTACTTCTACACAGTATTCATTTTGTGGTTATTGTGCTATTCAGCAGCACTTTATACCTTGGTGTACCATAACATTAGTAGCTGTCACCACTCCACGTGGAGCCAAAATTGCTATTTATAGTGTGCAAACAGAGTAAATGGTTGTGTAATACCAAGTTGGATGTCAGCAGTATAAACAAGTCGGCAAGCATTATATAAAGGTAGTGGCAGTTGATCATTAACCCTATTCTCTCCATCATTTGTTTATTCTGCAAAGTATCATGTATAGCCTAATGTAAATTGTGTATAAACATCATCTTGAAAGTGGATTTGAACACTTGCTTTTATGAGGAATTAGGACTGTTGCTTTCTAAAAAGAAACTGAAAGTGCCATGTAGGGATGAATACCAAACCAGTTTTGCTCTTAATACCCCTTGTACAAGCCAGTGGGAAAAAATCAATTTGTTTTCTACTAACTCCACCAGGGAAGGTAGCTAGCAGGTTATTTAAGGTGGATGCATGTGACCCATTCCTTTGGCTTGACTCCCCTCTCCTGAAACTCCAGCCTCTCTCTCCCTTGAAACAAACGCCCTTCGAACAGCTGATTTCAGCAGCTGGAGGAAGTATCACATGACCTCAAACAAACAAGAGCGGAAAGAGGATCCTCCTCCCTTTGCCGAGCAACTGGGGGGAAAGATCTGTGTCTTTCTCAACGTTGCTGTTAGCCCCTTCCCAAATTTATAACCCGAAGGGAAGGGGCGAAGTCTCCTGGAACAGAAAGAGACGACCACTGCCAGTGGGGTAGGGTTGCATCAAGGCAGCTGCTTTGCCTTTTGTTTTCTGAATATAATCCTTACTCAGTTAAGCTGGTTTGATGTCAGTTATTAAGGGCTGCTAATCCAAGCTTTCTTGTAAGAAAGTTCCGTGAACGTTATGAATTGTGTAAGCATACACAGAATTGCCTTGCAAAGGAGCTTTGGTTTTAAGCACGAAGATTCAGAGTATGACAAAGGAAGAGGAAAGGATTGTTGTATGCAGTGTTCCCTCTAAGCTGAGTTAGTGTGAGCTAGCTCACAGTTTCTTAGCCTCCAGCTCACACATTTTTGTCTTAGCTCAGGAAGGATGGCTCCAAAGCAAACTAATGTATGCAGTAGCCAAGTGACTTGCTCACAACTTGAATGCCAACAGCTCACAAGGTAGAATTTTTGCTCACAAGACTCCACAGCTTAGAGGGAGCATTGGTTGTATGTTAACTTCTATTTTACGGAGAGGTGGCAAACAAGCAAGTGTTTTGCTCTCTGGGTCCCCTAGGGCTGGACTAACTATAGTCGTGTATGGTCTGTTTCTGTTCTTTAAAATAAAACAAAAAAGCCTTCGACAACATATTAAAACAAAAATGCCCACAATTCAGCGATGTGTTTTAAATGTATAAAAGCAAGAACTGGAACTTGGGATCGTGTAACTAATCTGCATTAAGCAGGCCTGTGCACGTATTCTTGCTTTAGAATATAGGCGATCTCCTGCGGGATCAGATTTAAGATTCTAGTCTAGCATTCTTTGCAAGAATCCCAGTCATCAGATGCTAGATGGTCCCCTGGATATTAGCCACTGCTGCCTTTTACCCAACACACCACAGACCACTCAGGTGCCCTTTTCTGGTCTATGACATATGTTGGCCACTACCCTCCTCTGACAGTATACAATCCTTTTTGGTTTGTTCCAAAGTCAGTGCCGAATTTCTCAGAATTTTATATGCCCAGGCTCAAACTTCCCGGAAAAATTTCCCCTGTTGAATGTCAATGCATCAGGAGGATAAAGTGGGGCATTTTTATAAAGGCAATAATGTAGTGCTTCAAGAAGATGATTTAATAAAGGGAACAGGAATCTGGGCTCCAGTACTGTTAATCTCATGAATTATCTTGCTCTCACTACGTTATCATCTACCTATGTAGTTCCAGTTTGGGGCATTTTTAACCTATCATGTCTAATACTTATGCTTTGCTTTCAGATTTCTGCACTCCCAGTCCTATTACTTCACTTACCAGATGTGTTATTCTGTGGATTGCAGTGACATAACATTGTGTCACTGGCCTTGAATCTTGATGAGAAAGGTGGGCTGTTATTTATTCTTTGGTGGTGGAAAGTGTTGTCAAGGCAGAGCACACTTATGGCGACCCCGTAGGGGCTTCAAGGCAAGGGAGGAGCATTATTTATAATCACACAGCTGTTAAAAGCCCGGGGGCCTGCAAGAATGGAGGGAGGGAGCGAAGAAGAACATTTTTTGCCTACGAACTGTCACAATGGCCAGCCTCTGATATGCATGAATGCGATAAATCAGTTACTGTGTAATTGGATGGGCACACAACAGATTGTTTATGTAGCATCAGGAAAACGGGCTTCCTGCACTTTGACTCTTGTTTCCTTCTCATCCAGCCAAAGTCCTTCCTGTTGTGCAGACTCAGCTTCTGCTCCTTGGGGAAAATCCAGTTGTTGTGACATTTCTCCAGTTTAATCGGCAGACTTCTAGGGGCTTAATTTGTGACCCGGCAGAAGCCGAGAGCCTCATAGGGGTCCCCTGGCTTCCCACCTGAACTTCTGATCAGCCTTTTGCTGTGCCTCTTCCTGTTGCTGGCATGGATCGTCCCAGATGGCTGTCTGCCTTCCTCCTCCATAGCCTGTTTGCCACCATCCAGCTGTGTGGTAAGTCTTCTTTATTATCTTTTAAGGGCTACTTAGCTTGGGAAATATTCCCATGGTGCGTAATTAAGCTCATGGAATTCACTGCTGCAATGTGTGGTAGTGATCAATAGCATAGAAGGATTTTAAATAGGGATTAGACAAATTCATAGCAGAGGAGAGGTCTACTCATTGTTATTGGCCATGATAGCTTAAATGAACCCCCCATTTTTCAGAGTCATTGTACCAGATGCACAGGACAGAAAAGTCAGAGGAAGGCTATTGCCTTCATGGCCAACTTATGAGGTTCCAGAGGCAGAACATTGGCTAAGTGGATCTTTGGTCTTAACCAGCAGTACCATTCTTGCATTAAAAGAATGTGTTCAAGGTACATATGATTATGTAATAATATACTCTTCGTTCAAAGAAGAGAAATGATCATTCTCATTTATAGAACACCTATCTGTTAGATGAATAGTGATGAAAACTGCAGAATGTCAAGTCCCTGAGAGTTCACTCACAGGTTGCCTGTTTGGACCCGGAGACACAGGATGACCCTGGTCGTATTGGGTCTTCTACACAGGGCTGTTGTAAGGAAGAAGACTGGAAGATACTTTATATGTTACCATTATCTTGTAAAATGCCCAGTCAACTTTATTGACCATGCTCACATTTTAAAAGCCATTTTGAAATTTGGTAGTGTTGGTAGGGGCCATGGTGGCTCAGAGGTTAAGACGCTGAGCTGCAGGCCAGAAGGTCTGTAGTTCGGCAGTTCGAGACCCTAGTGCCATGTGACGGAGTGAGCTCCCGTCTCTGGCCCCAGCTCCTGCCAACCTAGCAGTTCAAAAGCAAGAAATTGCAAGTAGATAAATAGGTACCGCTTCAGTGGGAAGGTAACAGTGTTCTGTGCACCTCGGCATTTAGTCATGCCGGCCACATGACCACAGAAACGTCTTTGGACAGCGCTGGCTCTTCAGCTTGGAAACGGAGATGAGCACTGCCCCCTAGAGTCGGATTCAACTAGCTTTCGAGCAAGGGAAACCTTTACCTTTACTGTTTGTAAAGCTTGCAGACTGTGAGACTGTGGAACCCAACTCTAGCAAAACTGAATTTCAACAGTACATATTTTCATGCACACAGGGTTTGTTCTTCCTTAGTTTTTGGAATCCCCCCATGTAGATCATTGTCTTCTCATGCCTTCCATTTGTTTGCCCCAAATTATTGTACAGCTGAGGTTTTTGAAACTGACTCAGTTAAATACACAGCCCAGCCCTTTTATGAGTGGTAGATTAATGAGGACCCCTTTTTCAGGGCGTTTATGTGACTCTTAGGAACTGATTTTTAATGTAGTATTTAGACTACATTTTTTTTAACTCAATATAAGATACTTTCACTCTTTTGTCTGATAGATCTCCTAATGTTACCCTTACTGTCATTATTTTTTTTAGTTGTTTGGGTATTAAAGCTTGAAAATTATATTTATTAGAGGAGGGTACATGAGCTGTGGTGGCTCAAGTGGTTAAGATGCTGAACTGCAGGCTGTGGAAGGTCGGTAGTTCAGCAGTTCAAGACCTGAGTGTGCCGCATGACGGAGTGAGCTCCCGTCTCTAGTTCCAGCTCCTGCCAACCTAGCAGTTCGAAAGCAAGAAATTGCAAGTAGATAAATAGGTACCACTTCGGTGGAAAGGTAAGAGCGTTCCGTGCGCCTTGGTGTTTAGTCATGCCGGCCACATGACCACGGAAATGTCTTTGGACAGCGCTGGCTCTTCGGCTTTGAAACGGATATGAGCACCGCAACCCTAGAGTCGGATTCGACTGGCTTTCGAGCAAGGGAACCTTTACCTTTACCTTACATGACTGTTCAAGATATTTGCTTGAAAGAGCTTTAATCAGATGAAAGGAAAGGGGGGAAAATCCAACTTAACCAATTAAAAGTAGCACTTCTGTATCTTTTCTGAGTGTTCAAAGTATGTCATGTACATCATAGCAATGTTGTAAGGGTGGTTGATACCCTTGCCCCTGTATTACGGGGGAGGGGGAACCCTGAGGCTCAGAGTGAGCGGCTTGCCTAAGGCCAACTACAGTCTTCATGACAGAGGCAAGATCTGAATTGGGAACTTCCTTGTACAGCATAGTCAGTCGATGGTCTTAGAAGGACATAATTATGCTCAGGGCTGCACCGTTAGTCACTGCTCTGTAGTGATTCTCCCTAATTAAGTTCTTAGACACACTTTGATAAAATGACAAGAATCAGCCATGGGGAAGTGGGGGATGTGCTGCTCTTACAGGTTGTTGTTGATTTTGGGGGGAGGTAAAATAAATTTTAGGGTAAATGTATGTAGGACGGAATGATGTAGTAAAATGGTAGAGAGCAGTTCCCTTGTTATGATGGTAACAAAAGATGGGATGCGCAACGGACATGGATATAAAATGGCCTTGCTCATTGTCTTGTGGATGACTGACCTTGAGTTGTTGTATTTTAACTATAAAAACTAAAACAGGGAAACATCAACTGCAGGGTGGTGTATTAGGTTTCTTGCAGATGCCAGTGCAGTCCTAAGCAGAGTTACACCCTTCTCATTCCATTGACACTGATGGGCTTAGAAAGGTGTAACTCTGCTTGGGACTGCACTGTGTGATTCTCTGACATCCCTGTTATGGTATTCTCCTGCTCCCACCCTGGAAAGAGCCTGCTGCTCTCCTCTGGAAGCTTTTTGCATTATGCATCCAAAGGATGGGTTGGTGGTTTTCTTTCAAGCTTTGCGGATGCTCATCACAACCTTTAATATGGAAGATGTTTTGACTGTGTGATGGTTAGTCTCAAGCAAAGAGGAGCAGATACCAATGAGGCCTGTTGAGTCTAACCACTCCAGCTGTTGCTGCTCGTACGTCAATTTTCTTGCCCCCCAAAGGAGAGCTAATGATTATACTCCAAAACCTTTTTTAAAAATAACAGTTTATTTATTTTATTATTCAACATTCAACAAACAAAGTTAACACCATTATATACCATGAAGCAATGTACAACCGACGGAATTTCTAACGAGAGTTACCAACTTTGAAATACATATGATGAAAAACCTTTGAGATCTAGGGATCAGACCATAGGTGTTGTGAAGTGGTTGTATCTGTCTCACTCATTCTGAGTACATGTTCTCTTCCTGTGCAAGAAATCCCCAGTGGCAGGACTCATCAGATCAAGTCTTTGAACAAGGAGCTACTGAAACTGACAGAGGATGCGTCCAGACAGCCAAACCCCAGCGTGTACTTGGGCCTCCGTCTTTCTGATTACCACATTCGAGAGAGAGAGAGCCAGTACCTCCAGCGACTGAAGGAAGTCTTCCAGCCCAGTTCCATCAGGCATGTCCACCAGAATCAAAATTCTAATCAAGCAAAAGCCGGATTCAATGGAGGGTCAAGGGCAGTAATAGAAGGGGAAGCAAAATATCAAGAGAGTTTTGAGGCATGGAAGAAAAGATACTTTGAGGCAGAGAGGAACTGAAATTTGGTGCATGACTTCCAGTTTTATTTATTGGATATACCCCGTGGGATCAAGATCTCAATATATACTTGCTTTATGTTTTTATACAGATAAAAAGTAATGATTATAGGAAAACATTTAACTTTGTTTCCACAGCACCAGTGTGGAGTGATGGTTAGAGCTCTGGACTAAGGTCTGGGAAACCCCAGTTAAACTATCCATTCTGCATAGAAGCTTGATGGGTGATCTTGGGCCAGGTGTTCTCTCTCCACCTAATCTACTTCACAAGGTTGTTGTGGTGAGGATAAAATTGACAAGGGAGAACAATGTTGTAAGCTGTTTTTGGTTCCCACTGCAGAGAAAAAAACGGGTATAAATATCAAAATTAATAAGCTAGATCCTGCCTCAAGGAGTTTGCAGTGTACATTTAATCAGTGAGGGAGACTGGGGTTGCTAACTGGCCAGTAGAAAAAAAATGTCCTGTACCTTTAATAGAGGCTTTTAGTGTGTGCAAATAAATGCTTGAAGCTTTTCATGCCATGGAAGTAAGCAACGTCATCTGCTACTGCTGCAGATCAAACGAATATTAAAAGGACAGCTGGAGGGACCAGTTTAAAAGTTGAGGACCCTAAGGGAGAAATGGAGGAGAGGAAGCAGAAAGACAAGGATGCATAAAGTCTTTGTTGAAAATACTTGAAATAGATGTTAGTAAACTGCTAGACATAGAGCTGGTGAATTGTGCCCAGAAAAGTCTAACCCTGCGGTGGTTTGTCTCACTTGGTCCAGCATTCCAACTCCAGCCAGCGGCCAGGAGCAGCCCAATACAGGCCAGCTGGCCCTCTACCTCTTAGCACTGCGGGCCGCATGCCAGGACATGGAGACAACCTTGGAGAGGCAGCTAGTGACCCAGCTTAAGTTACACCTGCATAAAGAAAAGGGTTCTATAGGTAAGGCCAGGGATCCGGGGCTGGCAATGGTGATTGTGGTGGGGAGGATACCCTTCTGTCACACACACACACACACACACTCCACTGTTGAGAGAGGTTCTGTGCCCACTGCCTCAGCCTTTGGAAGCCAGGCAGATGAGTGTGACCAACAGCAGCTTCCCAGTGGAGTCTCCCCCAAAACATCTTACCAGGCTGTTCTTTCACTATTCTTTTGACATAACAGTTAAAGCCATTTTGTTCTGAGTGACTTTGAGGGCTGTTGGCTGATCTGCCTGTTTTATCTACCATTTTGATCTTGTGACCTTTGAGTTCTGTTGTTTGATGTTGTTGTTGTTCAGTCGCACAGTCGAGTCCGACTCTTTGCGACCCCATGGACCAGCTCCCTCCAGGCCCTCCGGTCTTCCGCCATCCTCTGAAGTTTGCTCAACTTCATGTTCGTTGCATCGATGACACTGTCTAACCATCTCATCCTTTGCCGTCCCCGTCTTCTTTGACCTTCAATCTTTCCCAGCATCAGGGTCTTCTCCAGTGAGTGCTCCCTTCTCATTTGGTGGCCAAAGTATAGGCACATATATTTATGTGTATGGCCACCAGAGGGCTTTTGGAGGGAGCTTTTAAAAAAAAAGAAAGGAAAAGGCCACAGTACACTAAGGCCCATTACGCAAACACTCCTTACTGCAGTTTTTCTGAGCAGTAAGCCTTTAAGCTTGACTTTGGATTCTGTGCCCACCTTATGTACCATTCTTTTCCCTCCAGTGTATCTGTTCTGCAGCTAAAATTTAAAAACTGCACTTTTCTAAATTGGGGTGGGAACGTCACTTGTGACATGTGGGTGGAGGTGTCCAAAGCTTTTAAAAAGAATTATGCAGTTAACCTATCGCAGCTGCGCAGTAGTGTCCAGCAAGCGCCTTCCATTTAAATCCTCGTGGTTCAGGTTTTGTGCATGTATTTTAGTGTTCGTTCATTGAAAGAAAGGAAACAGAAAGGAAGGCAAGCAAGGGGGGGAAAAACCCATGTTGAAACTGACAAGACTATAAAAAAAACTGACAAGCAGTTGCAGAAGCCCCATTTCCGTATAGCGGAACACTAGGGGATCTTTGCTGTGTTATTGCCCCCTGTAAAAAATGGGAAAGCGTCACACCATCTCGTAATATGGGGGAACATGTTGAGTACACAGAATGCATGGTGGAACCCACTGACACTGGCATGGCATTTGCAAGCTTTGATCATTGGCAACATTGAGTGTGTGTGTACGTGCCTGTGCAAAGTTGGCTGCAACTCCACCATGATTTGCACTGGGCTGCAATTTGTATGGGGGAGGAGTCCTCTGGCAGAAGCTCTGGAGAGTTTTTTTAGTGTCACTCAATTGAAAAAAAAAAGTTTTTTCATCGATGCCCTCGAGCAGCTGCACAGTAACGCTAATTTCCTACCCTTCCTTGCAAATTTGCATGGTTTTCTCTTTGTGATTCTCTAATTTGATCCTGCATACTGGTCGTGATATTGGCAGTTTTTTAACGCCTCTCCTGTGCCAATTGCACGATTTCCTCCAAATGGATTGATCCCAAGTGATTCTTAAGTTTGACTTGTGGTTTGTAGAAGGACCATGTGGCTCAGCCGCCATTTTAATGTTAGGCTTTGGGAGACTGCCAGAATGGTCCCCCCCCAAAAAAAACCCAACTTTGTTCATTAAAGCATTAAAGGGAAAAATGTTTTCAAAACTTTTGGCTTCCCATCCCACTGTCTCTCCATGTCTCATGTCAATTTCATTCTGCGCTGCTGATCCCTCACCTTTATTTTGTTTGCATGCAGCACTGAAATACTTTTTTTTTTTTTTTTTTGCACCGGGGATGCTGCCGTTTGCCTCATCTCCAATCCCCCTTTCAAGTCAATACCAGCAAGGAACTCCTTTTAAAATCACCCCCCATTTTGATTTTTTAATTTCGCGATCTGAGACTAGCGATACTCATATCGTTAGACTCATGCTCCTTGTCAAAAAATTTAAAACAACGAGGGAAAAGTAATCAATGGAGCTTGTACATCAGTGAAGGGGTAAGAATGGCAGAAGGTGCAGAGTGAGCAAAAGAACCTCAGTGTGGGTGGGAGAGAAACCTTTGAGGGGCAGCAAAAGGGCAGGGGGGAGAAATCCGAGGGGATTTGTATGCCTTTGAATTACCTTCAGCTTGGAAGCACAAAAGTATTCTCAGAAAATCCAGGGATGGAAAGAAAGGGTGTATGTCTTGGTCTCTTTGTTCCTACAGTAGCCCATGAGAACAACGGTCGGCCTCTCACTAACTACTACCAGTATGGATTGGGGGTCTTGGCTTTGTGTGTCCACAACAAGAAGGTCGATGTTCATGTGATCAGTAAGCTCTTGGCTGCAGAGAAGCACGGCAGATTTGAGCACGGAAGTCAGCTGTTTGTAGGTAAGAGCCAGCCTGGCAAATAAGTCCACAAAAGTTACTAGACTGCAGTTGTCTTTATTAGCCCCAAGCATTTGAATGTCGTAATGTGTGAAACTTAAGTGGGTTGGTGGAAAGGGGATCTGTTCTCGTCCGGTCAGGGGTAGACTGGGAGCCTATCATTTCCCATCCATGTCATGTGACAACCCTTTCAGCCTGAGTTTCTAATCCTGCTGGGCTACGGGGCTGCTGCAGTAGCAACAGCTGAGATCAGACAGCCAGTTTGGCCTTTGCACCCTCTGCCTGGCAAAGATGGCGGCCCAGGTGCAAGTGTGGCACTGAACCCAGGCTCTGGGCTTGTCCTCCTTTTGTGGAAGGCTGCTACCTCTCCTTCCTTTGCAGGGAGGCTGGCCCAGGTGAGTGCACAGCGGCTGTTGCTTCAGCTGTGCCTGGGCTGCCAGGTTTACGAGGATGCAATGGCCACTGCCTCTTCCTTCTCATGAGAAGGGTGGCTCAGGAGTGAGCCATGCCTGGACCACTGTCCTTATGAGGAAGAAAATGCCCTGGTTCTCTTTGCAAAGAGGAACTTGGGCCATACTGGCTCAATGGGAATTATCCTGCTCAGTTGAAGAAGAAGAGGAGATTGGATTTTATACCCCGCCCTTCTCTACCCGAAGGAGTCTCTGAGCAGCTTACAATCTCCTTTCCCTTCCCCTCCCCACAGCAGACACCCTGTGAGGTAGGTGGGGCTGAGAGAGCTCTTTTGAGGACTGCTCTTGAGAGAACAGCTCTGAGAAAACTTATGACTGACCCAAGGTTACACCAGCAGATACAAGCAGAGGAGTGGGGAATCAAACCCAGTTCTCCCAGATTACAGTCTGCGCTCCTAACCCCTATGCCAGACTGGCTCTAAAGAGCCAATCTGTGCCTGCGTCCAGTTAATAAACACTTCTTTAGCTGCCCACCTGGAGATGATTCTCATTCATCACAGTGAGTGCCTATTTCAATACCTGACAAAAACTCTTCATTGGTTCTTTGTCCACCATCCTTGGGCTGTTTGTGATGCCATTCTGGAAACTGATTTTCTTCTCCGGCATTAGCCAGATTCCCTGCTGGTGTAAACCACCTTACTAGAGGCTGAGATCTGTTGTGGAGGCTGCTTCCAATGTGGCATTCCGTGTGGAGGTTCTTGCCTTTGCCATAGTTTTAAGGATCACCTGCTACTGGCCTTGCAAGATTGGGGGGGGG